TCACATCTGAGAAAAGAATCACAGCAGATTTGATAGTATTTTTTAATTATTTTTAAAAGAATAGCATATAAAAGAAAGTTAAAGTAATAAATTAACCCTTCCAGACATTTAGAACAAGAGAAGTTACTGAATAATTACTTTGTATTTTCCAGCTTTCTTCTTTCCAAGAAATTGAAGAACTAGTAACCAAAATGAATAACAGGTTTAAGTCCCTAGTGACCATGGAGCTCAGTAACTGATTTTTGACCAGTCATTATGTCTCAGCCAGCCTATTTCAAACAGTTGCTCTGAGGATAAAACGAGATGTGACTACATGTTCCTTAGGGGTACAGGATACAAATGTAATAATTAAAATCATAAATGTCATATCTACCGAAAATCCATGATATGGATATACTGCTCACACTTCATAATGAGTCATTTATTCTGTATTAACGCTAATATAATAAAGTGTACAAAATCAGTAGCTTCGAGGGTGAACAACTTGTAAAGCAGGTGTCTGCAAATTTTTTGGCTGTTGGTCACATTGGAAATTTAGAGAGCATGTCCCAGATGCTTTCCAAAACTGCTGCAGACTGGAAGCTGCCTATTCACAAAATCATGTCTTGAAAGAGGTGACCAGTCATACCACACTTATTGATGAAAAGGCAAACTAGTAAGGATGCTCCCTGTCACTCCAGGTCATAAGCCCTGTGCCAAAATTGTTGCCTATAGGCCTAATAGTAATCATGGGCACTACCCATAGCATATCCCTGGTCTAAATTTCACCCAGTGATCTTTATTTTGATTTAAAGATATCCTATGCAGGCCATGGAATGATGTAAACAGAAAACAAAGCAATTGCAAGTCTGGAAGCTTTTACTGATGTAAATTCTCGAGCAGAAGCCAAGGCAGAGGTAAGAGCAGGCTGTTAGACAGAGTTCAACAAAGATTGAAGAGAAGAATCTTGCCTTGTAAGTCATATCAGTGCAACAAGACTACTGCCTTGAAAAATGTGAAGAAAAGCTGGGTTAGCAAAACCAGTCTGTGGGCCCAGAGGGGGGTTTCCACAAAAGCTGGTCCAAAAATCAAATTGAAAATCTGACCACAAGAAACAGGAGGAAATTGGAAAGAACAATCCATAGGAAAGCAGGTCGGGAAACAGAAGAGCTATTTCCAACAAGGGGAGGAGTTTGGAGGATGCTGTTATGTAACCCAAATTCCTAGAGGAATTAATGTCCCCTTATCTTGAGGAATCAGGCCAATCTCAGCCTTCTTTACATGATTTAGAGCTTAACACTCTCCAAGCTCAGGCTCTGATTCCTTGCTATCTGAATCAGCAGTCAGTTGTGCTGAGTCTGATTCATTGCTCACTGGTGGCTGATAGTCTGTAGTCTACTCAACTTTAGGCTAAGAGTCTACCAAGTTTTCCTTAGAAGAGTCCACAACTAAAGGGCAGCACATCATTACTTTTTAAAAATTACTATCAGGTGGTTAAACTTTTCCAGAAGATTCTAGATTTGTTACAGCTTTAGCTCTGCCCACTTCTCAACTGTTTTCTTGATTAATGCCAGTATATCTCAAAAATAAAATACTAAAAATGACAGCTCCATTACTGGGAGAAATTATATATTTAAATATATATGTGTATGTATACACAGGCATAAACATTTAACAGAAATGTGATGTCTTCCATCTTAGTCCTGTAAGTCTCCATTTCTTTTCTTGTGCACGTATGTGTGCCTTCGAATCAGTCTTGGTTCCTGGCAACCACCTGGACAATTTCATGCAGTTGTCTTGGCAACGTTTGCCATTGCCTTCTTCCTAGGGCTGAGAGAGAATGACTGGCCAAAAGTCACCCAGCTGGTGTCGTACCAAAAGCATGACCAGAACTCACAATTTCCTAGTTTCTAGTCCAGTGCTTTAACCACTACACCAAACTGTCTCTCATTTCTCATTCTAGTTTGCCAAAAACTAAAATAGCAGTCTCCTTGGGTTTGAATAACTTTAAAACTCAGATTGTGGTTAACAAGTCACATGCAACTGGCAAAGGATAAATCTGGAAATCCACACACACAGATACAAAGACACAATCTCATTAACCCTTTCTTTTCCTTAGCATACTGGGCAAACATAGACACAGAGCAGTGTAAATTGTAGTCTTCTCCTAAGTTGGACAGATGACACCCAAGAAGCTTAAATAGGGAAACAGAATTATAGACTTAAACAAAGTATTGAAGATTTTCCAGTTGTTAGCAAACCTTTTTATATAGGCTTCTGCATATCATAACAAAATAGCACTAAGAATGTGGGTGCAATTATTGCTCTCCAGAGATTAGGAACTTGAAAGTGTCCTTCATGAGTGAATGGGTGCAGGCTTTTTCTTTTTCTCCATGTTGCTCATTAATCTTATGTGAAAATTCCCTTTTCTTCCCTTTCAAGGTATAAGATTTGGCAATATTGGTACAATGTCTATTACATTCTCTTCTAAACAAAGCCCTGTGGGTTTACAGGGCAACGTTCTTTTTTCTGTGGCTTATTTCTGACACTTACCTTAGGGAGTATGCTCAATTTCCAACTCATAAGACCTGTATCTTAAAAGTTTCATTTACATATATGATCCAGCTGAAGAATAGAACTAATTGTTCACACTAATCCATAGTTTGTCTTCATAGCAATTGTTGAATAAATGACAATACCCAATTTCATAACTAAGCAAGACATTGGCTAGATTTGTATACGTGAACCCAAACCCAAATGCATCACGTTTTTGGTTAGCGTGATTCCTGAATTCAACCAGTGTATTTTGGCAGCCTACAGTGACATCTTATCTTTCTAGGTGAAAAAGCAAGAAAAACAGGAAGCAGCAGATAAAAACAGGGTCTGCTTTAGCACTAAAAGAGTACCATTGCTGCTATGGTATACAGAAAAGCGAAATTTGCATTTCCCCAATCTCATTATAAATTTAAGAAATGAAGTTCAGCTGCAGCATGGTTTATGATGAGAAAAACTGCTTTGTCTTAGAAAACCTGTGAGGAAAAGTGACTGTTTTGGTTGATCTGGTATATAAGTTACATATTGGCAATAATATATATTTATTTTAATTTGGTGATAGAGCACATGTAAACAACAGATTTTAACAAAAATAATTTTCTTTATAGCAATGTTATCAGAAAGAGAAGCACAGCAGGGCTGGAGTTTTTTATTAGTTTCATCAAACACAAGAAATATTATTTTAGCTGTGCAGAAGCAAATATGTCCTTCTATTATTCATGAACAGATATTGCTTAGCTTCATGCTTTCACTTAGCATATGTATAAAAATGTAACAGATTTTTTGCATAAAAATATACTTTACAAAAGTAATTAAGTAATGAAATTTTCCATTCCTGTCCATATAATGGGTTTACAAAATAAACCATCATCTATGGGAATATTAAAAATGCAATTTTAGCCATTATGAGTATAATAAGAGATTATCCTACACTACGGTGCTTTGGGTAGGAATTTAGAGCAACGCTATAAAAAATAAAAAGTAAATTGCTTATTAGGATTTTGAATTAAGAATTTAAGCATATCCTCAAAACTAGGTTAGAAAACTACATGTGAAGTAATGTAACTGGCAATGGGGAAAAATCTATGCTCAGACAGAAGCCATCACAAAAGAGTATTAAAAAGCATACCACAGAGTGCCCCATTACTTGGTTATTATATTGTTGATATTAATATGCAGTTTTTAGAACTTTGCAAGAAATTAAATGCCTTTACACTATTCATGTTTCTATTTTAGAGCCTCTTGATCTCCATCTTATTTCAATTTTTTAATCTAATTGACAAAGAATTGATTTGGAAGCAAGGATACTGGTGCAACAAGCTTCTTTTTAAAAAATAAACAAATGTATGAATTATAATTTAGATTTTGAAAAATAGGAGGAATTTAGGAATGGGAAAAGGCATATAGAAACAAAAGAGAGAAGAATTAATATATACCTAAAACAACTTTAGATCTCACTGGCTGTACAAGTAATGAAGTTTGTGTCTTCATTTAGTTTGTGCCCATAATAATTCTTTTTTCAGTTTCCGCTATTTTCTTTCATTATTATCAGATATTTAAACTGTGCCATGTTCTTGTGAGATCATAGGACTAGCTACTTTTTTGTTCCACCTACTAAACTGGAAGAATGGTGAAGATTAATGGAATAAAATGTAAACACATACAAAAATATTTTTAAAATTAAATTGAAAGAGAAAATCACAGAACATTTATTTACTGTACAGAATCATGACCAGCAAACATATTACACTATAATCTTTAATGGACCAGAGCACATTTTGATAGCTATCTGGATTTTGATCCAAAAAAGTTATACCATAATAAATACGTTGATCTTTAAGATAACAAAAATTTGCTGTTACTATTTTTATTAATATTAAACAAAATAACTAATGTAATGTGCCATTGACAGGTTTTGCTGTACGAACAATTGCCTGAAAGCTAGCAGATTATATTGTGCTAATAATATTTGCAGTCCTCATTTAGCAACATGATTTATAAGCAGAAATGAGTTAGACTTGGATTTAACAATTGTGCATAAACAATGTTTACAGAAGCAGAAAACAAATGTGTTAGGAAATACTACAAAATACAGATGATCCACAATGCCTTTTAGATAAATGATGCACAAACATCATTTTGGAAGGATTTGTTTTGCATCATACCTTGAGTATAAACCTTCAAAGAGAACAATAATAATGATAATCAAAGTGAAGACAATAATTTACCATCTCTTCAGTCAGTATAGGGTCAAGAACATTAAGTGCCTTAAAGAACTAAGATGCATTTAGTTTTCAATTACGATACTATATAAGCAATGTTGTGTTAATACATGAATTATAAGGGAATGTTTCTGTTTCTGTCAGCAGTCATGCATTTCATTTATTTTAACATGTTTGTAAGTTTATTCAGTTGAGAGCATAAATGTTAGGTTTAAATATTGATAATTTTTCAATATATATTTTCAGGGTGGAAAAATTCCAATTAGATGGACTGCTCCTGAAGCTATAGCTTACAGGAAATTTTCTTCTGCAAGCGATGCATGGAGTTATGGAATTGTCATGTGGGAAGTGATGTCATATGGAGAAAGACCATACTGGGAGATGTCTAATCAGGATGTAAGTTTTTCCTGGTTATTACAGGTTATCGTTTTCAGGATGCATTTACTCCATTGCTTATTGAAAAGAAAACAAAAGTCATTTAGTATATATAACTTAGAATAACTCCATTGTTCTCTTTTTTAAACTTTTTTAATAGTAATTTTATTAAAGATTACAATTGCAATAGCTCCATCATTGTCAATGGAACTAAACAGTCACATTTTTTATCATGCTACTGTGTATTAGACTATGACTATTATATGTAACTATGCAATATTATAGGGCTCTTTTTCCAGCCGCATTGAAATGTAGCTTTATTGTTCCTTTTAAAAGACGGAAGATATATTTAAAAATTGCATTATAGCTACGGTTGTACATGTTCATGTTTTTTTTAACATTAGCATTGGTTCAGAACATGACCTGTGTTCATTTCCTAGAGTGCTGTAGGTATGCTAATTATTGATTTTGGCACATCTGGAAGCAACTTTTTAAATACCTTTTGGCAAAATCTAGGTACTATAAATCAGCTCCTACAGTCTGTATTGTAACCACTGGTTTTGTAACACAGGAAAAAAATAGAAAATTATTTTACCAAGGGGAATCACCAGTTTAAACTTTCCACAGTACAGTCCCTTCAGCAGTTATTCCTACAACCAAACCACAAACCATCCATAGATTTCTGACTAGCCATATGAGAATATGATTTCTACAAAAACAGTGCAGGTGTGATGTTAGCCAATGCTGTAATATGTGCTTTTGTTTAGCAGCCTTCTGGGGAATTCATGATAAGAAATTGCTGAAATTTTAAAATTCTGTCATTCCAACTTCCATATGAAGTTCCTTCCTCTTCTATTAATCCTCTGAAATGAATGGTATACAATTTTAACATCTTGACATTCTTGAAGATGCATATATTTACCATGAATTTTCAGTTTCAAATTGTTCTAATCAAAGCTTCCTGAATAGGGCATTTAGGGAATTCTCTAAATAATGACCACGTTTAATTAACTTGTGCTTGAAAATATGTTTTATGTATTCATATGATTATTTTGTTGTTGTTGTTGGAGGGAAAGCACTGGGCATGCATATGAGTATTCCTCACAGTAAGAACCTTGACTGAGCAATGATTAGTGAATCTGGTTTACAACAGAAAGAAGTTTTATTTAAGGAAATATGTGACAAGGATAGACAAAGCCTAGCACCTTGCTAGCTACCTCCTACCAAGAAGACAGTCAAAGAGAACGAAATTTGTCCATTCATCTCTGGGGAAAAAGGCAGAATGAAGTGACCAGGGGATTAGCAGACAATATCACAGACAAAAAGAAAGGCAGAGAGATTGAGAGAGAAGAGGCACTTGTGGTCATTAGATTGTGATATGCTGAAGAGCAAGTGCTACAAAACTCACATTTCTAACATTTTTAACATGAACTTTATTAGTTTATGTGCTACTTTTAGTATGTTCCTATTTTATTACAATATGCTCCCCAGAGCATGGCAGCCCTGTTAATGCATCCTTAGGTGTATTAGTAGTAGGATCAGGTTACACAAACTTTCATGTATTGTTCCTGAATTAACAAAGATTAGCTAGATAAGCTAGCCTGCAAACTTTATGAGGAAATTGCCAAATAATTGAACTTTTCATAGACACTATCACTATATTAAGCTGAGACTAATTTCACTACGTTTAATAAAACTGAGGAGTCCTTAATTCTTTTATGACACATTCACAGACCAACTGGCAGTGTCATACAGGAACCATCAGACACCCAGTTTGGTCTAGTGATGAAAGGATCAGGCTAGAAACCAGGAGACCATGAGTTCTAGTCCACCTTAGGCATGAAAGCCAGCTGGGTGACTTTGGGCCAATCCCTCTCTCTCAGCCCAACTCACTTCACAGGGTTGTTGTGAGGAAAATAGTACCTTAATAATAACTAAGGAGTATTAGGTATGTTTGCCACCTTGAGTTATATAAAAATAATAAAGACGGGATAACAAATCTGAAAAAAAAAACCCCATCAGTATGAACTATCCTCCTCTGGCTTTTACTATTGTACATATATATCAAAGTTTGCAGAGTATTGATCTAAAGTGTTTGTCCTTCCCTTGTAGTACTAGGAGTCATCCAATCAAATTTATTGGTGTTACATACAGCCAGAAAAATATTTTTCTTGAATTAATCCATGCATTTCACTGGTGCAAGTTGGTGATTAGTGATTATTTTAAAGAAAGCTTTAAAAGAAACTAGACACATTCATGGCAAGTAGGTACAAACAGAATGCAGCAGGCTACAATATTACAAAGAAGTTCAATTAATAGAGATAAGGAACCTGTGAACTCCAAATGTAGCTGAATTATAATTCTCAGCAATCCTAGCCATTATAGCTAATGGTGAGAAATGCTGAATGATGGAGTTCAGCAACAACTGGAAAGCTAGGGATATTCCATCCTTAGTATTTGTTCTACTTTCAGTCATATGTAGTTGTGGCTTAGCTCAGAGGTCCATGGTAAGAGCAGCTAAAAATGAAAAGACCAAACCAGGTTACCAGGCCATGTTTATCTGGTTGCATGGAAAACTAACTCTGGCTTATTTTATACAGTACTTGTTCAACAACCTATGATTAAACAAACTATGGGCTGGCATGATATGTGAACTCCCTGGGTTATTTTGGCATATTGAAAAGGTTCAAACTGAGAAGCTGCATACTACTGCGTACAAATATGGTATTATTTTCAATCCTTTCGTTAGGTACCTGGTTAGTCATGAAAGGAAACAAAGTATGCTTAATATTTAAGCACTCTAAATAAAAAGCTTGTATTTTCAAACCACTTTATAATGTTTTTCTTTTCTTCAAAAACTGGTAAGAGATACCAACATATTTGGATATTGTTACTAGATAAGTCTGCACAATCAGACTTGCAGGATTCTGTTATTATAGCTAATCTCAATAAAAATAAGTGTTAGCCATCTTGTGAAGTTGATTTCCTGGTCTGGCCTACCTAGTGGGACTGATAGTAAAGAAGATGGATACTTCTCTGGAAATAATCATGTAGCTTGTAGCTAAGGGAGCTATTGTAACCAAAAGTTAACTAAAACAGGTTTATGTGTCATAGAATATGGATGAGTTAATCATGGGAACAACAAGAGGATTAAAACTGCAATCATTCAGGGCCACACCTAGCAATAAGTCCTACTGAATATATTAAGACTTGGCTGGTGTGGGTCTTCCGGGCTGTGTGGCCATGTTCTGGAAGTTTTGTTTCGTAACGTTTCTGAAGATGCCAGTCACAGATGCTGGCAAAATGTTAGGAAACAAAACTTCCAGAACACGGCCACACAGCCCAGAAGACTCACACCAGCCATCGTATTCTGGCCGTGAAAGCCTTCGACAATACATAGTAAGACTTGCTTCAGAGTAAACCTGAATAGGAGTTACTGTTACTACAACATACTGCTAGAAAGTGGGAAATAAAAATTAATATCCCATTGATCACTATTAACTGCAAGTGAATTGAGACATTTAATTAAAATCACAAATACCATTGGAATTCTATTTCTATGAGGCACATCATTTTAATATTCTTAGCTTTGACATCAAGGATTAATACTTGGGGAGAAACATAATTGAAGCCAAGCAAAAGTTTCAGGACAGAAGCAAATTCTTGTTTATTGCTCATCTCTACTGCACTCTATTTTATTATGATTACTTAGCATGCAGGGTGTTTTCAAGATCTCTCAACATTTATAAAATATAGGTAGTCCTCAGTTTACGATGGCAATTAGGGCCGGAATTGCCATCACTAAGTGATGCAGTTGTAAAGTGTCACAGGACCACGTTGCTTAATGGCAAGTCTGGTTGCTGGCATTAAGTAAAGACCTCATGTGATTGCGACTTCCATCTTCCTGTCAGCTTCCCCACTGACTTGCTTGTAGTAAGTCGCAAGGAATGTAGAAAATTGCAATCGCATGACTGCAGGGATGCTGCAACAGCCAGAGCTACAAGAACACATAATATGTACCATTTGTTTAGCGCCATTGCAACTTTGTAAGATGGCTGAACAAATGGTCGTAACCCAAGGACTACCCGTAGCATATAATATACATCAGCAGAGCTTCCATTTTGTGCTAGGCCATAAGCCAATGGTTCTCAAACATTGTGGTACCCCTAAATAATAAATGAATTTGTATGATTCTCATGCCATGAATAAAACTGAGGATTCACTGGGGCGAGCTGGGCAAGAAAGAAATATAATACTTATTTTTAATAATTCAGTTTTAATCTATACATCACAAAGGTTCTCCAGCATTCTGGCATGACAAGTACCAACTGCAAATGAGGAGCAAAGGTCAGAGTTTTGACAGCACTCTCACTTTGCCTGAACAAGCCTGATTGGGTTTAACAATATTGTTAAACCACAGTTGGTCTTGACCCACAGTTGAGAACTCCTGCCAAAACTCTGGTGGGATTTGTTTTGGTTTAACATATGTAAGGCAGGAAAGCTGGCTAGGTGACTTTACAGGGTTACTGTTATGGGGAAAATAGGAGGAGGATCATGATGTATGCCACCTTGAGTTGCACAAAATAAAGGGCAGGCTATAAATATACTAAATACTGTACTAAATGAACCCAGAAGATTATGGTTTATTCAGTGAAGCATAATTTAGTATGATGTGTGATACAAGATTCTATCATACATCATATAATAAATTGTGCTTCATGGTAGCTCAGTACTTTTTTATGACTCTATATACGATTGTAGCTTTCATTTGAAAATACAAAGCATATCACTTCATCTCCTCCTCCCCCACTTTCTACATAGGTCATTCTGTCCATAGAAGAAGGTTATAGACTTCCAGCTCCCATGGGCTGTCCAGCGGCCCTCCATCAACTAATGCTTCATTGCTGGCAAAAGGAAAGAAGCCATCGGCCAAAGTTCACCGACATTGTCAGCTTCTTAGACAAATTGATACGAAACCCCAGCTCTCTTCATACTCTAGTTGAGGATGTATTAATGTAAGAACCATTTCAGTAAGCTTTTTGTATGTGCATGCATGATTGGCACCCTCCTAATAGCCATGTTAATTACAACATTATATACAATGATTTTCTTCTGTATTAAACTACTGATTTCTCCATCATCTTTCCTTTTTGTTTCCTCCATCATGTCAGATTGTTTTCTTCGGTTTTACCCTATACCTAATGCATGAGGGCAGTTTGGATTTTTCATATGATAAATTTCCATTGTTCCTGGAGTCACATGCACATAAAGTACAGTAATGTGAAATGAAGTGTCACTAAGTATATACCAACAAATTCCTGTGCAAAAAATAATTACCCTGCATTTTTTTAAAACTAGCTCTCTTTCAAGTTTGATGAAAAAGTCTGATCAGTTATTTTCCTGCACTTATTTTGTTATAAAGTAGCCAAGGCACATGTATAAATGTCTTTTATTGTATACTCATAACTCTAGCGGTTTGCAATTCCTGTAGCTTCCCACGTTCATTCAAAGTCTATGGAAGACGTCATAAGGAAACTCCTTCTACTGGCCTTTTTCTTTTCTTTTTTTTTTGGAGGGGGTGTGTGTTGGTAAATTAATAGAGTCATGAAAGCTTTAAATAGGCACATCTATACATCCCCCTAAAATTGGTTCAAAGGTTCCTCCTTAACTATTCTTCAGGGATATATCTGTACGATACAGCCCTCCACTATCTCCAACACTTAGCCAAGGCCAAACATTTGGTAGTGGCCAAATGTTGAACTTTTCATCTTCCTCAGGTTGAGGAAGGATTTCTTTCAGCCATAGCATTATGTGCTACCATCAACACTGGACAGCTACTCCAAAATCCCCTCATCCAAATGGGTTTGCCCTTGTGGTTCAGAGAAGATTGAAACTATTCCCCATGTACTGCTGCACTGTAATTTTTATAGGGAGATGTGCAATTGTCTTATTTTGTTCCTCTGTGACAGAATCGAGTATAAAGCAGACCTTTATTAAATGAGTTTCTACTTTATAATTCTACTGCTAGCCCTACCAGCATTGTGGCTAAATTTTGTGTTGCTGTGATTTAAAATGCATCATCTTATATTGTACTCCTGAATATTATGTTTTTATATGTTTTTATTTGGATCATTGATAACAATAGTAATAGTAATAGTAATTGTAATTTAAAAAAACATAAGTCAAGGCTAGCTAACATCAGATATATATTTTTGTGTTGATGTGAAAATGGTGTTTTCCATCTGATCCTAGCTTTAGCCTTTTCATTTTCAAGTGTGACACGCTGACAGCGCCTGCGGCAAAGACATTGCCAGCGGCTGAGATCTGCCCACTTCATGTAGGACCCTTTCTCAAAAATAAGAAAACAGTAAATATGTCAAGTGCAGAAAGTTGAATAACCTTCCAGTCAGTACCTTGTAACACCTTTTGGGCAGAAATAACAGCTTCCAAACAATTGTTGTAGTCTGCTGTCTTCCTACTGGAATTTTCCCTACTTTTCCTTGCAGAATTCTTTTTTTATATATATAATTTTTATTAATAATTTTAATTACAATAGTAAAAACGAATACACTAAACTTAGAGACAGAGAAGAGAATGGAAAAAAAAGAAAAAGAGAAAGAGGAACAAAGGAAGGAAGGAAGGAAGGAAGGAAGGAAGGAAGGAAGGAAGGAAGGAAG